CCACTGTTTCTGATAAGAACCCAGTCACTATTTTTGTCACTGTTTTCCTGTGTGTGATATGCTATTGTTATCTTTGGCTGATTTCACAATTTTCAGAAGTTTAACTATGATGTAAACTGCCTTTTCTTGGGGCTTGTTGAGATTCTTGGTTCTGTAAATTGTTGATATATTTCACCAAATTTGGGGAATTTTGACTATCTTTTCTCCATGTATTTTTTTCTTACCCATTCTCTCTCTCCTTTCCTTCAAGGATTCTATTGAGATGTAAGAACTTGCCACTGCCATTTGGTTGCTTGTCTTCTGGTTGTTTTGTAAACTCCATCTTTCCTTCCTTCCTTCCTTCCTTCCTTCCTTCCTTCCTTCCTTCCTTCCTTCCTTCCTTCCATCCTTTCTTCTTAGATGAGGTCTCCCTATGTTGCCCAAGCTGGTCTTGAACTCCTGACTTTAAGAGATCCTCCCACCTCAGCCTCCCAAAGTCCTGGGATTACAGGTGTGTGCCACCGCATCTGGCTCCCACTTCTCTTTCTATGAGAACTTAATTGGACACGAGCCGATAGAGACCAGAAGTGAGAAGTGGCCACGCTCACTATCTCCCCACGGGGAATGGTGGGTGCTTCCCTGAGGCCAGGGCTGCTGGGAACACCAATAGGGTACAGACCCAGCTCTAAGATTCAGAAGCTTGAACAAGTTGCGTGTCCCTCTGGGGCTTGGACTCCTGTTCTGTAAAAGTAGAGATATAATGATCTGTAAAAGTAGGGGCAAGAATGATCTCCAGGGTTCCTCTCAGTTAAAAAAAATTCTACAATCTACTACACTCATAAGAAGACTATTATCGACCTGGATTTACAGATGTTTTTGTTCCCTGGCAATGTCAACACTTGTTTTGACCGGAAATACAAGTTTCCAGGGCTCTGAGACACCTTCAAACTCCTTTTGTGTATGTCTAGCTAGGGCAACTCTGCATTCGCCTAGATCAAGTATCATCTAAGACATGAAAGCAACTTATAACTCCTAGTAGGAGTGTAGTAGGACTTGGTTTTTCAAATGTATACCAGACACGCTTCTTGTTTAACTCAGGATGGAAAATGGAAAATAAACAGTGAGCTTCCTGACAGCCTTCTAAGCACAGAGGGAGGCCATGGCATCCCTTAGTGACTTTTCTAAGCACAGAGGGAGGCCATGGCATCCCTTAGTGACTTCTGTGGCTGTGCTTCACCCCTGGTCTCCATCACCACACTTAATTATTTTCCTTCGTGGTGTGTCTTACGGCAGTAACATCTCTATTCCGACTTCTAGGGTCTGTCTTACCAACTGGCCCATGCCTCACCACCATCTCTGTTTTATTTATCTCTGTGTATCCAAGCAAAGAGCTCAGTAAATAGCAGTGGTTCGATGCATATTTATTATATAAATGAAGAAAGTAAAAGGATACCTTTGAAAAATCCAGAATTTAGAGCCGAAAGACCCAGCCTCCCAATCTGTCTCTGTGACCAGCTGAGCAACCGTGAGCAAATTACTTTATCTCCCTGAACCAAAGTGTCCTCAAAGGTAATGGAGAGAAATAAGATCCACTCTATCTACTTTACAGAGCAGGGAAAAGATGGTGAGGATTAAATAGCTCATCACAGGGCTGCCTGTGGCCTTCCCGCCTGCCTTGTGCTGGGCCACAGAAGCTGGCCATATCATGCCGAGCCACCACCAGGCATGGTACCAGGCACGGCCATGCCTGCTGGATACTAAATCTCCAACAGGAACCAAAAAATGTCAGCCTGGTTCCCAATGAATGGTATTTTTTTATTTTGTGAGTTGTTGTCCCACTCTGCCACCCAGGCTGGAATGCAGTGGCACAAACGTGGCTCACCACAGCCTTCGCCTCCCAGGCTCAGGTGGCCCTTCCGCCTCAGCCCCCCAAGTAGCTGGGACTACAGGAACACACCACCATGCCCAGCTATTGTTTTAAACTTTTTGTAGAGACGAGGTCTCGTTTATGTTGCCCCAGCGGGTCTCAAACTCCTGGACTGAAGCCATCCTCCCACCTCAGCCTCCCAAAGTGCTGGGATCACAGGCATGAGCCCCCGCACCTATCTCCATTTAATTTCAAATCAATTCTGAGAGCTGATCTGTTCTTCCAACGTGCTCATGTCAAGACTGTGGGTTGCCGATAACCCGGGGAGGGCTGAAGACCTGGAAATCCAGTCTGCGGCTCTGCGGACATATGCCAGGAGAAAGACCGCCACGCTGGAATCTTATTAGCAGGGCGCCAAGTGACAGCAGTCCCAGAATAGATCCCTAGGGCGCTCTCATTTCTAATGCCCTTGTATCTGAGCTAGCACTGCTTAAGGATTCTGAGTCACAGTTAGCTTTAAACCACCCTTGTCAGCACGGAGCTCTCCAACAGCCACCAGGGAGCATGCATTAGCAATGTACTGTCACACCCCCGCTGCCCAGGGCACAGGGGCAGACCCCAAGCCTCACCTCCCCGGGGTTCTCGCCTCTCCGGGGCTTCCCGGGCAGGAGGTCAGGCGAGGTCTTTCAGCAAAAAGCCCGTGCCCTCTGAGCCTCCCAGGGGTGCAGGTGACAGAGGAAGACATACACAGGGAAGTCCGAGTTACCTTGGCTACAAAGTAGCCCCGCGGTCCAGAGCACAGCGAGGAAGGTAGGGTACGCATCTACACAGTTCTGGCTGCAGAAGAAATCAACAAGGAGGAAAACAATTACAGAGGGCTCATTACTGCACCAGGGTCTGAAAACCACCCGAAAGTTGAGGTTAACTATTATCGCCGGGCGCAAGGTACAAAGCCCATTTATAATTCCACTTAATATCCACCCGCCATGTCAGAAACAGACAACAGTGTAAAGCAAAGACATGTTCAAAATTCACTCACTCTGGGGCTGTGGGTGGTGGCTCACGCCTGTCATCCCAGCACTTTGGGAGGCAGAGGTGAGAGGATTGCTTGCGCTCAGGAGTTCGAGACCAGCTTGGGCAACATAGCAAGATCTCATCTCTACAGAAATTTAAAAAAATTAGCCCTATATGGTGATGCATGCCTTTAGGCCCAGTTTCTCAGGAAGCTGAAGTGGGAGGATCACCTGAGTCCAGAAGTTCAAGGCTGCAGTGAGCTGTGATTGTGTCACTGAATTCCAGCCTGGGTGACAGAGTGAGATCCCAACTCATTAAAAAAAAGAGAGAGCCGGGCTCGGTGGCTCAACCTGTAATCCCGCACCTTTGGGAGGTTGAGGTGAGTGGATTGCCTGAGCCCGCGGGTTCGAGACCCGCCTGGGCAGCGAGACCTCATCTCTACAATAAATCAAAAAATCAGCCGGACGTGGTAGTGCGCGCCTGTAATTCCGGCTACTCGGGAGGCTGAGGCGGAAGGATCGCCGGAGCCCAGTGGGTCGAGGCTGCGGTGGCCGGGAGCGGCCACTGCACTCCAGTCTGGGCGACAGAGTGAGACTCCAACTCAAAAAAAAAAAAGAGGGAGGAGAACAAGACTCGGTTTCCTGACGCATTCGCTTTGGCCAAGTTCCTGCTCCTGGCTGTGCCCATGAACTTCTTGGAGTTGAAGAGTGAGCAACGTGGTCCCCGTTGGGTTGGAGGTGGCAGGGGAGAAGACCCAACTAAGGACCCCTTTTTATCAGACACACAACTCAGCCTAGCTCTGCAGGCCAGGCAGAGGAAAGAAAGGTGATCTTTAAGCACTCAAGCCAACAAGGCAATTCAGAAAAGCTCAAACGTTAGCTTGCTGATGGTAGCAGCGCCGTGTGGCCAGGCACAGCCCTCGCTCCCCAGGGAGTTCTTGCTCTATACCAGGTGCCAAGTTGATGTTTTACACTCATCGTTTCCTTTAAACTCTCCTTGTTCTTGTGATGAGTACACAGGATGACTGTATGAGTCTCTTCTTGCAGCTGTAACAAGTGACCTCAAACTAAATGGCTTAAAATAACACAAATATATCAACTCGCAGTTGTGGAGGTCAGAAGTCCGAGTGGGTCTCTGTGAGCTAAGTGTATTTGCAGGGCTGTACCCTTCTGGAGCTCCTGGTGAGAATTCCTTTTCCTTTGCCTTTTCCACTCCTGGGGTCACCTATATTCCTTGGCTCAGAGCCTCTTTGACCTCGCATGGAGTGATGGTAGACCAAGTCCTTCTTGTTTGGAATCACTCTGACATTGGCTCTTCTGCCTTCTTCTTCCAGATTTAAAAGGACCTTTGCGATTTCCTTGGGTCCTACCCAGACAATCCCGGACCATCTCTTTATTTTAGGTCATCTGGTCAGCAACCGGAAATCCCCCTGGCCAATTAACATCACGTATTCCTGTTTTCCAAGGATTTGGATATGGGCATGATGGGGATGAGGGGAGCATTATTCTGCTTACCATGATTATTGAGAAACTGAGGCTTGGGGAAGCACAATAACCTGTCCGAGGTCACCCAGTTAGGGGGGTGAGGATGCCAGGATTCACACCCGGGTCAGTCTGTCTCCAAAGCCAGATCTGTCAACTCTTCGACTATGTGAAATTAAATCATAGGTGTCCCCTTGAGGAGTTTACAGTCCAGATGAGGACAACAAATCCGCCCTTCCATGGAAAAACCAACATAACCAGACTTAAAAGGCATGGAGGGGAGGGCAATGTGATGCATCGGGCACAGCCCTTGGCTAGGATTCAAAGTCACGTCCTGGCTTTAACCAGCTGTTTGTCACTTTCAAAACAGCCTCTCTGGACTAAGATAAAGCAAAGAGGTTGGTGATGACTCTGAGACCCATATGACTCTAAGAGCCAGCGGTCCAAGGTGGCCATTCTCACAGTGCATTCCAAGGACCAGCAGGTCAGCATTATCGAGAGCTTGTTAGAAATGCCAATGTTCACACTCACCTCAGACCTACCGAAGTTAAAACACTGGGAATGGAGCCCAGACATCTGCCCTTTAGCAAGCTCTCCAGGTGATTCTGATGCGTGCTAGAGTTTGAGAACCACTGGCTTAATGGGATTATATAGATAAAAAGCAAAGATGTTGTTTTCAAAGTGCTTGTGCAAACCACTAGGGTCTCGTGCATCAGTGGTACCACTGAGAACTGTGGAATGGCCAGCCCTTGGCCTGTGCCCTGCAGAGAACCCAGAGAGATTGTGCTGTCTGTGCCTGGCCACAGAGACCCTCAGGCCCCTTTGACAGTCAAAAGACCCTTTTCCTGGAGAACTCTGTGGATGTGAGTGGAAGGTAAGGAATACATGGGTTTCATCCTAGGATACAGGCACAACCAAAAACCAGACACAGGACAGGAAGAGCAGACCCCTGCCGGCCTTGCTAAAGTGCTCTGGGCCCCCAGAATTTCCACTGATCCAGTAAGAACGCCAAAGGGCAGGAGGCCCTCATGAACTTACCACTGGGGAAAGAATCCAGTCAATAAACAGGTCCCAGAGTCTATTCTACATTATTCGAGGCACAAGATTGCAGCCTCAGGACTGAGAAAATGTGATTCATTTCCCAGGTCAAGAAAATTAGAGAAAAAAAATTCTTTTTAGTTAGTTGAAGAACATTCTATATCTGAAGGGGTATAATATCTGATGCTCTTATAGTTTGAATATCTATTTATGCCAAAGATTTCTCCTGCCTTCTCCTCAGTCTCATGTTTCTGGGGTTTTTAGGTTTTTTGTTGGTTTTCGTTTGAGATAGGGTCTCCTTCTGGCACCCAGGCTGGAACGCAGTGGCACAATCACAGCTCACTGCAGCCTCAAACTCCTGGGCTCAAGTGATTCTCCTGTCTCAGTCTCCTGAGAAGATGGGACCAGGAGCGTGCCATCATTCCTGGCTAATTTTTAAATGTGTTTTTTTTTGGAGAGACAATGGGGTCTCAATTTGTCTCATTTTGGGGGGCTGGTCTCAAGCTCCTGGCCTCAAGCAATCCTCTTGCCTCAGCTTCCCAAAGTGCATGAGCCACCGCACTCCGCCTTGTTTGTTTTTCTGGTTTTTTTTTTTGAGTTGGAGTCTTACTCTGTCGCCCAGACTGGAGTGCAGTGGCCGCTCCCGGCCACCGCAGCCTCGACCTGCTGGGCTCCGGCGATCCTTCCGCCTCAACTTTCCGAGTAGCCGGAATTACAGGCATGCGCTACCACACCCGGCTGATTTTTTGATTTATTGTAGAGATAAGGTCTCTCTGCCCAGGCAGGTCTCGAACCCACGGGCTCAGGCAATCCACTCACCTCAGCCTCCCAAAGCACGGGATTACAGGCTGAGCCACCGATCCTGGCTCCGCCTTGTTTGTTTTTAAGAAGAGATTCTGTCTGGGTAATATGAAAGGAAAAAGAAAGTTCTTAATCATCCAAGGAATTTGTTCATTTGAGAGAACTGTCTAGTGCTCTGACATAGGGTCAGTTATTCAGTCCTGCCTATTAGTTCAAGTCCTCTGGTTTCCTAATAAAACATGGTCCGTCTGGAGTTGAATGAAGCTCTCCCAACTGTAAGAGAACGGTCTGTTCCTCTGAGCTTCCAAAATATTTCCAGAGCCTTATCCCTCCCTATGGCTCAAGCCGGTCCCTCTTGCCATCCGGGGCCGCTAGCAAGTCCACGTGCCCCTTCTGGAAGGGGGTCGCTGCTGGGCTGAATTCAAGTGGCCTTGGCCATGGACACTGCCTGATGGCCGCTCACGTGATCATTCAGGTTCACACGTGAGTCCAATGCCAGGGCTGCCACTTCTGGGCAGCAAGAGGGTGGGCGTGCTTCCTAGCCTCACTGAGTCTGAATGTGTTCGTCTATAAGAGGTGGATGGAGACATTGGCAGTGACCTTTCTAGACTGTCGTGAAAATAAAGGGACATAAAACCCCGCCTGGCTCACAGTAACATTCAATAAATGGTGGCTATTATTGTTCCAATGTCTTCCTTCTTAACCCCTGGTGAGAATGTCTCTCCCACTGACAAATTATTATTACTCTGGATTTTCCTTTGAAGAGTTTTATGCCATTTTTTTCCCCTGCAAAACAGAACTGACAAGCCCATTTGGACTCTCTCTCTCTCTTTTTTTTTCTTGAATCAGGGTCTCACCTTGTCGCCCAGGCTGGAGTGCAGTACGTGCAGTGGCACCATCATGACTCACCATAGCCTCGACCTTCTGGGCTCAGGTGATCCTCCTGCCTCAGCCTCCTGAGTAGCTGTGACTACAGGTGTGCTCCACCACATCTGGCTAATTTTTTTTATTTTTTATTTTTTTGTAGAGATAGGGTCCTGCTACGTTGCCTAGGCTGGTCTTGACCTCCTGAACTCAAGCAATCTTCCCACCTCAGCCTCCCAAAGTGCTGGGATTACAGGTGTGAGCCACCACGCCCGGCCAGGACTCTAATTTCTTGAGGTCTTAATAGAAGCTGCCGGGCAGATCTCTGAGCAATCCTTTGTGCTACCGTCAACGTGACGCACCGTGAATGCTCTAAAAGAGCAAAGCACTGCTTGCTGTTTTTCCTTTTATTTTTCTTTTCACCTCTGGCAGTAAAACCTAGAGACACTTTAGTGTTCTGTCTGGATTAATTTTAAATATGTAATACTTAATGATAGTATTGATACTAATGAATGCAAATGAGTCAGGTCATTGTAGACCTGTCACCTTCACATAATCTTTCACGTCTACACTAGAAAGTGAGTCTAGAGTGGATGATGAGAGATTCAGGGAGAAGGGGCATTCGGGCGGTGTTCCCAAAATGCGTTTTGATGTGCTCTGTAAAAAAAAAAAAAAGGGGGGGGGAGGTGTATCTGCAGTTAAGTGCAACATTGTCTTTTTGGAGAACCAAAAATCAGAGTGCCCCTTAGCGTGTGACACACTCTCAAAAGTCTGGCTATAGTCAGGCATGGTAGGTTTATGCCTGTCATCCCAGCATTCTGGGAGGTCGAGGTGGGAGGATCACTTGAGTCCAGGAATTTGAGACCAGCCTGGGCAACATAGCAAGACCTTGTCTCTATCAAAAATTAAAAAAAAAAATCAGCCAGGTGTGGTGGCATGCACCCCTAAATCCCAGCTGCTCCGGAGGCTGAGGTGAGAAGATCTCCTGAGGTTACAGTGAGCTGTGTGTGTGTCATCGTACTCTGGTCTGGGCAACAGAGTGAGATCCTGACTCAAAAAAAAAAGTCTGACTATAAAGAACTTGTTCATCCCTGGAACACCTGTTAATAGCCCATGAACTTGTCATCCATGCAACACATCTTAGGAAACTACAGATCTCCAGAGACTCATCTCCTCTCTGCAACCTGTGCTTGTCTGCACTCATGGGGAGAAGTCTCAGGTCAGTTAACTAGGATTTTTCTCCAAAAACCAAGCTTTGGCCAATGCTGCTCTAGCTGTACTCATCAGCTGGGAACACGACATGGAACTATGTTTTCTACACTTGAATAGAGTCAAGGTCTGACTCCTTTTCACTTTCAAGTCCTGATCCAACTCTGCCCTTGTGGGAGATGGGTTGGAGGGACAAACCGCTCAAGGCCAGGTCTGAGTTGCTAAGCCACCCTCTGGGATGTCTGTGCATTGACTGTCCCAGAACCCAGAGTTCCCTGTATCAGTCAGCAGTCGTATTTTATGCTAAAAAATAAACAGGCTTTTCAATCCACTGCTATCATGTATCCTTCACGCAATTTTTCCTGTATGGCCACGATTACTGAACATTTATTATCTCACATCCCATCATCCAATAGTTTTGAGCATGCAATCCTATGACAGGTACATGTATGTATAAATTATATACACATATGACAGTTCATTTGTATATTAAAATGAGTGTTTTTTAGATAGCGAGATTCAATGTATATTCTTTCCTTCCTGCACCCTCGTGGAGAATCCTGCACCCTTTCAGTGCCTTTGGGGACCCCTGGAGAAGATTCTACCGGGGTCGATAATGCATGACCCCCATCCCAGTGGTCTCCTGGCAGAGGTGAGCAAGCCAACTGCCCCTGGCTTTTGCCAACAAGCAGTTGTCTACTGCGTCGATCTTTGGCCCTTTTTATAACCCAGACAGGCGAGTGTGCACACACGTTCCTGGCCAGGGAGGAAGCGGCCTTTGTAACCAAACCACAGCAGTGTCTGAGCAATCTTTATCTCACAAAGAGCTCTCCTCCCTGCCCCCCTAGTTCCTCCCTGTCCACGGCAGTCTCTCCCTTCCATCTCTCTGCTCCTTCCCCTCTCATGGAGTTACAGGGTGCAGACCCCTGAGTCTGGTGAGCTGGCTGCAGCACCCACATGGGGGACACCCACGTTGCACCAATCGCCCACGCACCCCACCGTGCCTTCTTACGCCTGAAGGCTCAGCGATTGCAGAACTTCCAAGCCACCCTCCCAAACGACACAGCACAACCGCCAACCCAAGGGCACTTCTGCAATTTGGAGGCAGAAACCAGGGAGGCCAGGTATGGGCACCACAGCTTCTTAGAAACAGAGCTATTCTGCTCTTAGAGGGGGTAGTGTGGGGGCAGTGTCAGAAGCCAGATGGCATGGCCTGCTCCATCTTTCTTCATTGTTGGCAAAATGGAAATTCAGCTTCTAACCAGGTACAGTGAAGTCCCCCCCGTCACTTCTCCAAAAGGCACCGAGGGCGCTATGGGAACACAGTGTGGCCAGCGAGAATGTCGTCATCTGGACAGAAGGAAGTTTCTCTTTCCAAATTGGCAGTACAGGGGTCATGTTTTGTTTTTTTTTTGATTCTGTTTGGGGAGAGTTCTGGCCCTCGCCTCTGATCGAAGATGCTTCTTTGCCACCCCTGCACGTGGGTAAGTCCGAGGGGGGTTCTTGTGACCCCTTGCAAATGACACAAAGAGACTGGTGGCGACCAATGTGTTTTCCTTTCCCTCCTTCAAGTGGGTCTGAGGTGGCTTCCATCACATCTTTGACTTTTCAGATTGACTCGGAGATTTAAGGCACTGAAGGCCCAGATGTTAAAATAGAAATCCCCCTGTAAGTAGTTCAGCAGGGGATTTCCTTGAGATCAGGTTGGCGGAATCACCTGGGACAGGAGTGGGTGTCCCGTGGGAGTGGGGCCGGAGCAAGCCAGGGATGGAGAGGGAAGGGGTCTGCGTGGCTGCCCGCCGTGGCACTATGAGCCCTCAGGTCCGAGCCAAAAAGGCCCAGGACCCAGAGAGGGCAGGGTGGGGGCAGGAAATCAGCCTGTGATGACCCTTCTGATGTGCCCAGGCAGGGAACACAGCCATTTAAAAGCCCGGGAGCAAAGGGCAAGAAATGACAATGAAGACCTCCCTCCAGCTCCCCCATCCCCACACCTTGCTGAGAAAATGTTTTAAAGTGCCCAGATGAGGGAAAGGACTGAGGAGAAAGCACATCGGTGCGTGTGTCCAGGCCTGCCCAGTCGAGACCCCTTGAAGCCAGCTTCATTCACAGGAAGCCAACGGCACCCCTGAACCTGGACCCACCCTCCCAGCTGCTCCCAGCAGGGGACCCAGGGCCTCCTGACCCTCCGGGTGAATCCTGTCCTTCAGCTTGTGTCCACGGTCCTTGTCATCCTGAACGTTCTTTTCTCGAGTATCCATGACTCTCCCTTTGGAAAGATCTCTGGGGACTTCAAAGTCACCGCTGGGCTGGAATGGAAGGCCGGCTTCTCCATCAGCTCCGTGGTCCGAGGCCTTCCTTTGTGACAGGGGCCGACACGCCCCCGCCACCTCTCAGATGGCACTCTCTGTCATCAGACAGTACAGAGGAGAAATGAGCATTTGCATAACAGGCTTGCAGATTTGCATTCCTGATAGGATGCATCCATCTTCACCTAGCTGTCTGGGGACTCTCAGAGGCTCTTTTAATTCAACGTGAAGAATAAGAGGGAAAAGCATTCTCCTCGTGGTCCCATGTTTCCTGTTCTTGTTGGGGTTGCTCAAGGAAACTACTCAGGAAAGGCACTGGTGTCACCTCCAGACTTCCACCCTGGGGACAGCCGGGTGTGGGTGAGTGGAGGCTGTCGCAGGCATGTCCTGCCTGTTGCCCCTGAAGGCGGCTGGTGAGTCACGGCTGGTGTTCGTGGTAGTATCTGTAACCCCATTAACCCCACAGGGTGTGAGTCAGCTCCTCTGACCCAGTGGCTCGCTCGAATATCGCTCGGCTGTTTCTGGAACTGTGGAGACCACATCTCCCCTCCCACCATGTCCCCACTTCCTTCATTTATTCACTAATTTATTGACTCAGGGTCTCACTCTGTCGCCCAGGCTGGAGTGCGTGGAGGCATGACCACCGTTCACCGCAACCTCGATCTCCTGGGCACAGGTGATCCTTCTGCCTCAGCCTCCCAAGCAGCTGGGACTACAGGCATGTCACCAGGCCCAGTTAATTTTTTTTTGGTAGAGACGAGGTCTTGCTATGATGTCCAGGCTGGTTTCAAACTCCTGGGCTCAAGCAATCCTCCCACCTTGGCCTCCCAGAGTGCTGGGAGTCCAGCGTGAGTCACCCCTCCACGATTCTCATTCCTTCTTTTAGCATTAGACCTTAGGATAAGATGCTGACAGGCAGCCCCGCCTCCCCGGAGCCCCGCCTCCCCGAACTCACTTGGCAGTGTAGACCCGCTCAAAGGCGAGTGTTCCCGTCCTCTGGAAGCTCCGCCCATTATGGGTCCTGCTTTCATGTTCCACCTTATGCGCAAAGAATGCTGCGGAGGGAGGGAAAGGGGATTCAGAAGAGGATGGGGGTGGCAAGGAAACACTGCTACACTGTTGGTGGGAGTGTCAACTAGTGCAGCCTCTGTGGCGACACACTAAAAGATCTCAAAATCGACTTTCCAAACGCCCCTGCAGTCTCCCTTCTGGGAATATACCCAGAGGAACTCAAATCACCCTATGAAAACGATACCTGCACAACGCATGTTTATTGCAGCGCTATTCACAACAGCGAAAGCATGGGACCAACCGTGCCGCCCATGGAAGGAGAACTGGATTTAGTTCTCACTCATAAGCGGACCATGAACAATTATAGTACTGTAAGAAAGCATTTGGCAGTAATGGGAAACTGTCAGGGGGTGGGAGGATTGGCAGTGGAGGGAAACTGCTAGGGGAGGGAGGGGCACACCTCATCAACAAGGGTACCTGCATGCTCAATGTTTATATACCCAACCCTGAATTGTACCCCACATCTCTATAATTAAAAGATAAATAAATAAATAAATAAAAAGAGAACTGGATTTTTAAAAATGTAGTCCATATACACGGTGGGATATTATGCACCCATAAAGAAGGACAAAATTAGGAACTTCGCAGCAACTTGGATGGACTTAGATAGAGTCTATCATACTGAGTGATCTATCACAGAAACAAAGAAATGAGTACCACGTGTTCTCACTCAAGTGGACCTTGAACAATTATCATAATACCATAAGAAAGGGATTGGCAGCAGTGGGAAACTGCCAGGGGAGGGGGGCACACCTCATCAACAAGGATACCTACATAATGAATATTTGTATACCTAACCTTGAATTGTACCCTGCATCTTCAAAATAATAAATTAAAAGAAAATAAAATGAAAAAGAAGCCTGTTGTTGTTTTACGAGGCTGTTTTTCGCTCACTGTTTTTCTAGAACGTCAGTTGCCACCTTGACTCGACCTCCGAACAGCCCCAAGTATCCTCCACCAACTGTCATCTAGCAAAAAGGTCCTCAGCAGCTGCTCTCTGCTAATCACAGCGTTTGGTGTTGGGAATGCAACTGTGTGCAAGGCGTGGCCCCTACTCTCAAGCCTTCATGGTCTAGAGGAATGGACGCCCAAGGGGAGCAGAAATTCCGAGGCAGAGCGACTCGGGCCAAGATGAGGCTGAGTGAGCGCACAGTGCCACCAAGGTCAAAGGAGGCAGCTTAGTTCAGAGTGTGGGTCCCAGATGGATTCTTAGAGGACATGACACCTAAGATAAAATCTGAGGAACAGTTGGGAAGCAACCACACAGGGGGAGGGCGGTTACAGCAAAGGGATCGCTCTACTCAAGTGGAACAGATAAGCATGCAAAGGTCCGGAGGCAGGAACTGTCTGTAGTTCAGAATGCTCAGCCTTGAATGGGGAGTGGAGTGGGCACCCGCAGAACCACAGACTGGGCCAAAGAGATAGGCAGTGAATCACTCTCACAATGACATGTGTCTGTGATCACTGGCCACATACATGCCGGATGCCTGGAGTGCAAATGTCTAGAACAAAACAAAGAGCCCTGTCCTGTGGAGCTGATGTTCTGGCGAGGACCGCAGAGGAGACAGCCCGTACACGGCGAACCAAATGCATCCACAAAAAGCGTACAGTGTGCTGAGCCGTGGACAAAAAAGAAAGAGGAGTGTGGCCAGGGGCCATTTGGGAGAGTGAGCCTTGAAGGCACTGGGGGAGTCAGGACTTGGCAAAGAGGAAACTCATTGAGGAATGCCCCCTGGGTTTAGCAGGGTGACTGTGAACTTGCCGAGAGCCGCATGCAGAAATTCAGAACTTAGCTCCGTCTGAAATCAACAAGGAGCTGCTGACAGCTTTCAGCAGAGGAATGGCACCAGCAGAAAGCCACTCTGTCTTTCAATGTGACGGGTGCTTTGCGGGGTCAGATCCAGGTTGGGTGTTGAGACTGGAGCTGGTCAGGGCCATGGCTTTAGGGGTTACAGGGACGCTGAGGAGACGAGACTGGAGGGCTTGATTGGCTGGTGGGGGGTGATGGTCTCTCTCCTCCTATTTTATTCTTTGATTCCCTTTTTAAGAGTGAAAAAAGGATACATGCAATTGTTAAGACTGTAACTCCAGGGTTCCTGTTCATCAATTTCATATTAACCTTCTCAAAAAGGAGATCTTATCACTTGTATGAATAAAAAACCTTTCGGGGGTTGGTTGGTTTGTTTTTGACAAAAAATACACTTCCTCTGCAGGAAGGTGCCCATTTTGAGTATATCTGTAGGGCTCACTTATACAAAGGGGGCATATTCCACACCCCAGGCACTCATGGCAGTCTCTTATAGAGCTTTGCACCAGCCCTGTGCAGTGGCTGGTGCTGACCCCACTCTGGATAAGGACACTTTGGCTCAGGGAGTGGAGTTAACTTTCTCAGAATCAACCAGCCCCTGGGGAGCAGCGGAGCTGGGAATTCAAGCCCAGCTGGGTGTAGGATGCTGCATCTCTCTCCTCGCTGTCACCTTGAAGCTCCCTGCAGGATCTCACCAGCTACTCGGGGTTTAAACATCTGTCCCCTCGGAATGTATCTTCTTACCACAGAGTACAGTAAGAAATTCTGACCATTTTCTTTCCAGAACCCAAGATGTGCCTGAACATGTCAACAGGGCCGGGACAATCAGCCTTCCCCACCTGTGGGTTCTGTATCTGTGGATCCAACCCACCACGGATCAAAAATACTTGGAAAACAGTTTCATTCAACTGAACAGGCACAGACTGTTTTCTCGTCATTTTTTCCTAATAGTATAACACAACTATTAACATGGCATTCACATCGTATTAGGTATTATAAGTAATCTGGAGATGATTTAAATATTCAGGGCCGAGCGCGGTGGCTCACGCCTGAAATCCCAGACTTTGGGAGGCCAAGGTGGGAGGTTGAGGTTGTAGTGAGCTCTGATTGCGTCACTGCACTACAGCCTGGGCAACACAGTGAGACCCCCATCTCTTAAAAAAATTAAAAGTTAAAGTATTTGGAAGGGTATGCATCGATTATACGCAAATACGGTACCATTTTATATCAGAGATGTGAGCATCGTGGGTTTTGGTACCCAAGAGAGGTCTTAGAACCAATCTCCCACGAATATCGGGGACAACTATAGTAAAAAAGACAAAAGTTCCTTCTGCCACCAGCGGCATGACGTGGCTGCACTGCCCTGCATGTCTCTCTCCTTCCCCTCCTTGCTCAGAGAAACAAACCCCTTCCTCTTTCCCAAGGCTACATCCTCTACCTGTGATCTTGACCCAGTCCCTGCCACTCTCTACAGGTCTATATCTCATCACTGAGTCTCCCACTTTCAGAACCTTTGGTCTCTTATTTTCTCCTTTTCTTTGCCCCGGGAGCACCTGCAAATCTTTCCTGCCCTTGGAACAAAATGGAAACAAGCCCGTCTCAGTTGGATATTCCAGTAGGGTCGACATCTCCTTCCTTCTAAGCTAAGTTCGGAGGGGATGGCTGCTACCTGGGCCTGGTCTTCGGCACCCCTCGCTCTCCAACGCCTTGTAGCCCTCCAGTGAGTTAAGCAAACTGTGCGTGCAGAGGCTGTGAACACATTTATCTCGGCTAGCTGCTGTCATTAAGCCAAAACCAGAGAGTGAGAGAGAGAGAGAGAGAGAGAGAGAGAGAGAGAGAGAAGCACACACAGATGTCCGTCAGAAGCTTTGGAGAATTTGTCCCCCACACGCTGGGCCTTGCAACTGCTTAACCTTTGTCATCTGATGCAAGACTTTTGGCAACTACCTATGGAAGTTTTTAATAACCCACTTCTCAGCTGGGGAAACTGAGGGCCAGAAAACTTAAATAAGTTTCTCAATGTCGCATAAAAACATCTTGAGATTTCAGCTGACCACAAAGTTAACGTGACTCAGCTGTGTGACCCGAGTCCTGAAAAGAATAACTCATAGGTGGATGACTTTTGTAGAACTGGTGTCTGGATCTCAGGAGCAGTTTCCCTGGACAGAAGACACCCATCTGCATTTTAGAAAGAGCATGGGAGGAGGGAGGTGACCCCGCGGCAAAGGCCTCCAGAGACCAAGTCATACGAAAAACAGTATGTTTAATCACTTTGGGATTCTCAGCTAATCCTGCAAACACCAAAGGAGCTGGCATGTTCCAAGCATCCCCAAAGAACAATGTCAGGACCAATGGGTAGCAGGTATAGGAAGCTGATTTCAGGTCAGCATAAGAAATAACTTCTTGAGTAGTGAGTGCTTGAGTGAACAAACTTGAGTTAGCGTACATCGTGCAAGTGTCTGCTCTCTCGGTTAGGCTTGAATCTGTTTCACCGCTCCTGACTCTGGGACGTCCACCCCTTGGCTCTAACCTCTCCGTGCCTCGCTTTGCTTATCTGTAACATCAGAATAAGTAATAATATCCATTTCTTAGGGGGTACAAGGATTAATTGAGATAATACTTCGCACAGCAGGAAGTGCTATGCTGGACACTGAGTGAGTTCTCAATCCACATAAAGGCAAGCCCGCGTGGGTTGGGCATGCCCCAGTGCTGCGGTGTTTAGGGCGTTTCCATGGGGATTGCTGCAAGGAAGATTCCTGCTTTGGAGGAACTTCATGAGTCTGTGATTCTGTTTCTAGGGTCCATCAAACCCCAGGGTGAACTGCGGGGTCTTCCAACATGGAGCCCGAGAGGTTCCTTGGGAGTGTGTGTGTCGGTTGAGAGGGTAACTAAGGTTCCTCCTGAGTGCGATGCTCACAAACCCTTATGGCTGCAGGGCCATGGTGGGTGTGTCCCTTCTTGCTGGGCCAAGAAACTTCGAAGCCGCCTCCCTGGGAGGAGAGAGGATGATGTTGCTGGCTGTCAACTTCCCCTGCAACCAGAGCAGCTCCAGGGACAGCACTTGTGGGGGGGACATCCTTCCTCTGCTGTCACTGTGTGAGGTTCACTGTCCCCATGCCCCTCCCCACACCTGTGAAATCACTTTCTCCACAGACAGCGTGTGTTTCCCGGGTTTGCTTCTTGTCTGAGCTGCTCTCACCTCGGTAGAAGCTGGAAGCTCTCTTCCTGCTTGTCAAGGGAAACGCATCTATCTACGTAATTAAAACTTGTCCCAGACCCCAAACTGGGAAGACAGATTAGAGCCCAGATCCCGTCTCCTTGCTCAGCAGCCTTGCAAGAAAGCCTTGCTTCTCGCAAAAGCCAGTGCCATCATACTGGCTTTCGTGCACATGATGCTACAAGTCCATTTGCCCTCAAATATCTATACTCCCTGGGAAACCGGGCTTTGAGAGTTCTGGTTCAGGTTTCTTAGAACCGTACAAATGTTGTTTTTCCATCTCTGGCTTCTGCCGGATCAAGCCAGAAGAAAGGCACAAGTTCAAAGATCTTTCTTTCTTTCTTTAACTTTTAATTTTTTTAATTTTGAAGGTGTGGGGTACAAATCAGGGTTAGATATACAAATGTTCATGATGCAGGTACTCTTGTTGATGAGGTGTGCCTCCCTTCCCCAGGCAGATTCCCACTACTGCCAATCCCACTTCCCCTGCCCCGCTCCCAACAGTTTCCCCACTCCTGCCAGCAAAGATTTTGATGACTGAAGAACGTTTGAAAGGCAAAAGGAGGAAGTTGCACCAGGCGGGCCCGGATGCGCCCATCCTCAGAAAATCAGGTTCTCGAATGTACCGAGAGCACAGAGCCCCGCCCGGGCACAGACGCGTGGGGAACTGTATCTCATTGTCTCGGGACACAGGCAGTGTGCAGTGCCCGGTAACAACATGGAAATATTTTTAAGACAAACACGGAGGGTTCAGAATGACATTTGGAGGTGTGAGGAGGAAGAGAGTTGCCGTTTTGCATATTTTTTTAACTCTCTAAGGCAGGCCTATGGTTGCAACATTGAGGTTAATTAGAATTGCAAAGAGAGGCTTGGACACACATCTGGACCTTTGTGATTGCCTAAAAACTAGCAGATAAAACACATAGAGGTGCTTTGTCTCCCAACCCATTTGAGGTTTTTATTGTCCCCCCTACCACGCCCTCCCCACCCAGATGACCACAAGGGGCCCTTCTGTGGCTTCAAAGGGTCAACAGAAACTCTCTTCCTGAGCGCAGGGAGGACAGCTCTGTGCTAAGTCACTCTGACCACACATCGCCCCAGCTGGCTCACAGGGGCTGGAAGGGACAGGGGCCGCGATGTGCAGGCCATTGGCTCTGCTACATCCACCCCAGTCGTCTGTCTGCCCAACACGATAAAGTCTGCAGCCCAAAAGTTAGCTACGCTGGTCCATTCTTATGTCTCCCTGACTAGAACACCTCCATCACATGCACGCGTCATTTCTTGGAACTCTGTCAATGAGCCCACTGTGTCCTGAGGTTCGTGTTCTATGAAAAGCCTAGACCTTCAGACTGTGGTTGTCAAGGCTCAAACATTCGCCCACGTTTTTTTTTTTTTTTTGAGTTGGAGTCTCACTCAGTCACCCAGACTGGAGTGCAGTGGCCCCTCCCAGCAACCGCAGCCTCGACCTGCTGGGCTCCGGCGATCCTTCCGCCACAGCCTTTCAAGTAGCTGGAACTACAGGCGTGCGCTACCACGCCCGGCTGATTTTTGATTTATTGTAGAGATGAGGTCTTGCCAAGTTGCCCAGGCGGGTCTCAAACCTGCGGGCTCAGGCAATCCACTCACCTCGGCCTCCCAAGGCACGGGATGACAGGCTGAGCCACCGAGCCCGACCCATTTGCCCACCTTTAATCCCACCTCCTCTCCCCTCTGGGACTGCAGAAGAAGACTTAAGAAAAGAATTAGAAATCTTAGCATCTGGGCAGGGTTTGCCGGACCACTATGGAAAAGCCTGGAACCCAACTAGGTAGACCAGGGCCAGGCCCCTGGTGCATCCCAGTTAGGAGAGGTGACGAGACCCTGGCCTTGCAACACAGAGCCCAGCTCAGCTCTGAACCGAGAGGGAGCCGGAGAGAGTGGGCTTGAACTTCCCAGCAGAGCTCAGCCCCAACTGCCTAGCATGCGGGCCCCTGATGCCTTTCGGTGATATTGATGAGGATCGGGAAACCACAAGAAGGGAGACTCTACCCAGAGCTGAAAAGGGCTGCCCCACCCACCCATCATGTGACTGTCTTTCTGGAGACTTGGGGGTCTCTGCAGGCCGCCCTTCCCCCCACCGCGGCCATCTTGCTCACCGCTTTATCCCCATGGGCCCAGGATGCCGCCTGGCACGGGGCAGGCACATGCAGGTTGAATAAAAGAAATTCCGCCGCGGGCAGGGCCAAGGAAGAAATGCATGAAGTGACAGTGGCTTGAGGAAACGGTGGCCTAAAGAAGCCTTGCGTTCCCTCTCCGAGCTGCAACTCTGTTGTGTGTGACTTAGTGGCAGAACATTTGGGCCAGAGAGCTGCAAAGTTGGGACCCCTGGTGTGGGACTCCTGGTGTGGGAGGCCTGGGGAAGCCTTGCTCTGTGCCCAGAAGGCGACATCATCCACATCTGTCCACACTCGGGATAAGCAAGACACCAGACCATTCCAAGGTGGTTAAAAGCTCGGAGATCCAAGGTGTGATGGCGTGTCCGAGTTCAGCGATCACCACGAAGCCGTGGCCGCTGCCCTCCGTAACTACTCTCTGTTTTTCTCTATCTTAATAAACCGCAAAACACAACGCTGCTGAAGATGCTGATGAACATCAAGAACTTTGGGGAGACAGGGCTGCACAGTCCTGCCTTTCTCAGATCTGGGGAATCTGCTGGGTTTCTTGACTAACAGCAGGGTCAACAGATATTCGGACCCCAAACAGGAAAATTGTCTTCTCTCTCATGGGCTTTCTCTGGCGCTCTGCCCTCCCTCCCTCTCCCTTTCCCTCTTCCCTTCTCTCTTTCTCTCCCTCTCTCTCACCCTCCCCCTCTTTCTCTCCCTCTCTCTCACCCTCCCCCTCTTTCCCCCCTCCCTCTCTCTCTCCCGCCCCCTACCTTCTCTCTCTCTGGGCAGGTATACAATACACAGGAAGGATGCATCAGAAAGTACACATTGCTAGAGAAAAGGAGGATGTCCCCCAAGACGTCGTCCATCCAAAGCACAGATAAAGTAATACAGAGGAAAAGATAGTAAGACGAAGGTCCTTCACGCCTCCCAGATTCACTGGTTCTTTTAGCCCCCAGCTGCCTGGGAACCACAGGGGCGACACAGCGGGTGAGCTAGAGTCGCAGGCGTCGGAGTGGACACCACCTCATGCTCCCCACCCTTTGCCCCTTCCCTGGTCACATTAATTAATTGTTAGAATGCTGACGACAGATGCTTTGCTCGCAGAGGGTTTTTGCAGAAGCCTTTGTTGTCCTGGCCCTGCAGATGGAACTCGCCTCCACCACTAACGGGGAAGAAAGAGCCGGAGGAGAGAAACCCCAAGTCCACAGAAATGCACGCCGCTCTCCACATCCAAATACAAAGGAACAAATGAAAATAAGGCAAAGGTGTGTGTGTGTGTGTGTGTGTGTGTGTGTGTGTGTGTGTGTGTGTGTGTGTGTGTGTGTGTCCAAGCCTGAATTCCAAACAACCATCAAACAAAATCTGTCCCAGTGTGCGTCCCCGGGCGAGGGGCTTCCCCTACCGTTCTGAACCACGCTGATGAGGGTGACGATGGCCAGCAGGACAAAGTTGCCCATGGTTTCTTGATCCATGTTTGCTCCGGACTCCCCAGAGAGGACGGCTCAGCTCCGACTGGCCACCTGTCTGGCTCAGGAAGGGGAAGTGGCCTGCCCTCTTTCATCATTAGAATTTCCGAAGCTCCCCAGCACAACGACACAGTGCCTCCTCCTTCTCCTTTTTTGTTGAACTAGCCACCAAAGTGCCCTGGCGGTAGCTCAGCGTGACCCGCCAGGAGAAGCAAGGCTCGGGGGAGGAGCCGGCAGGGCCAGCACACCCGCCGGCACCTCCTTGTCACAGAAGAGTGCCCTGAAGGTCTCCGGAATGAATCCTGGACCCAAGACCCCAGCCAGCAGGAGCCCAGTGCAGGAACCAGAGACTCTGAAAGCCCCTGCCATCTCTGACATCAGCAAAAAGAAAGAAGGGAGAGATCAACTCTCAGGCGGGGGGCAGTGGCTCACACCTATAGTCCCAGTACTTTGGGAGGCCAAGAGGCCAGGACTTCAAGAGGAGCAGTGAGCTATGATGGCGTCACTGCACTTCAGCCTGGCCAACACAGTGAGACCCAGAGAAAGAAAGGGAGGGAAGAAGAAAAGGAAGAAGGGAGGGAGAGAGAAAAAGAGAAATAGAGAGAATGAAACTTTTCTTAATTTATAGAGCACCAAAAAAAAAAAAATCTATGTCCTGAGTGCTGCTCTTTCTGTCCTTGAATTCTGAACCAAAAAAAAGAACATTTAACACATGGTAGGACCCAGCATAGCAGGCTTGAAAGCTTGAATGAAGGAAGGAAGGAAGGAAGGAAGGAAGGAATGGTGATGAGACAGAGGCAGCTTGTGACTCAGTTTCTGCAGGAAGAAACTAATGAAAGAAATGAATGGCCGGGCTCGGTGGCTCAGCCTGTAATCCCGCGCCTTTGGGAGGCTGAGGTGAGTGGATGGCCTGAGCCTGCGGGTTCGAGACCCGCCTGGGCAGTGAGACCTCATCTCTACAATAAATCAAAAAATCAGCCGGGCCGGGCTCAGTGGCTCAGCCTGTAATCCCGCGCCTTTGGGAGGCTGAGGTGAGTGGATTGCCTGAGCCCGCGGGTTTGAGACCTGCCTGGGCAGCAAGACCTCATCTCTATAATAAATTAAAAAATCGGCCGGGCGTGGTAGCGCATGCCTGTAGTTCTGGCTACTCGGAAGGTTGAGGCGGAAGGATCGCCGGAGCCCAGCAGGTCGAGCCTGCGGTGGCCGGGAGCGGCCACTGCACTCCAGTCTGGGAGACCGAGTGAGACTCCAACTCAAAAAAAAAGAAAGAAATGAATGAATTAAGCCCGAGAATTAAAACTAAACCAAAGAATTCAGGTAGGGGCAGAAATGGAGTCCCAGAAGCCGCCTAAGAAGGCTGTTGAACACCTCCGTGGCTTTTCTGAAGCAGTCGTAGAAACGCCTTCCCCGAAATTCTTTTCCACTGAATGACAAGAGTGGAGAGGCCGGGACTTCTGAGAAACACTGCACGGACCTGCAGTGAGGGCCTGGTGGTCACGGCGTCCCACAGGAAAGTGTGTTCAGCGTGACCAGCAACTCAGAGGTTACACGGAAAACATGAGATTCCCGCCGTCTGTGTCCCAGACTCAACGGCTGGGTAAGGATTTGAGATGCTTTTACAAAACTTCACTTTGAAAGAAAACGTGGCCATCCTAGTTGGTGACAGCAGGGAGCTGCATCTCAGCATGGGAGAGGCCAGCGTGGGAAGAAACCACAGCTTTATGAGGCAGCAGAGGTCAGCTTGCGTGTCCTCGGTCTGATGGAGAGAGAGGGGCTGGCAGGGGCAGTGGACAGAGTTGGCTATCATAGTCAATCGCCAGGGTGGTCAGGCTGGTCGTGACAAGCTTAGGAACTCCCTGAGTGCCTGGGGCACTTGGTAGAGTGTGGAGTTCATATAAGCCAGGGTTCTCCAAAAAACAGGAACAATAAATAGATAAACCGACATGCCAAAAAATGGATACACATTTTAAGCAATGTTAAGAGATGTTTATTGTCATCAGAAGTGTCTTCTCTCTCTCTTGCTCCAGCCTCTCTTAGCATGTCAGACTTTTTCTCTCTGCAGACCTTTTTTCTCCACACAGTGGAAAACACCTTCACTTACAACTCTGGGATTTTCCATTGTATAGCTTCTATCACCTGCCAAGGACTAACTTCATCTAACGTGATTTGTGTTCATCGTACTGAGTATTGCAATTTTAATATAGTTATTCCTTTCTTAAAATGTGTATACATTTTGGGGGGCACCCTCTATACAAGAAGAGCTTTATTACGGGAATTCATTCACACGGTCATGGAAGCCATGAAGTTCCGTGATTCATCATTGGCAAGCTGGAGACCCGGATATCTGGTGGCATAGATCACAGTTCAAAGGCCTGATCACTCCACGGGACAATGGTGCAAAACCCAGTCTGAGTCCAAAAGTTGGAGACCAGGAGCTCCGATGTCCAAGGGCGGGCAGAGATGGAGTTCTTGGCTCAAGGAGGTGGGGGTAATTCACCGCCCCGCCCCCTTGTGTTCTATTCCAGCCTTCGGATTGGATGATGCTCACCTTCACTGTTGAGTGCCATCTTCTTTCCTCAGTCTACTGATTCCAATGTGAATCTCTTCTGGAAACACCCCCACAGACACATCCAGCAATCATGCTTTACCAGCTACCTGGGCATCCTTTAGCCCAGTCGAGTTGACACAAAACTGACCACCCCAGAGTTAATACAAGATTGATCAGGGTCAGAGGCTCAACACTAGCAAGATTTATCTGTTCCCCTTAGTGAGATTTCATCTGTACGTGCAGTTTGGTTACGTCTCAGAGGATGTTGAGATTCTGGTACCCAAGGAGTTTGAGCCCTTATAAAAAGTTAGTCCTTGGCTGGGTATAATCCCAGCATTTTGAGAGGCCGAGGCGAGAGGATTGCCTGAGCCCGGGGGTTCGAGACCAGCCTGGGCAACTTGATGAGACCTCGTCTCTAGCCGGGCATGGTGGCATGCATCTGTAGTTTCAGCTACTTGGAAGGCTGAGGCAGAAGGATCACCTGAGCCCAGCAGGTCGAGGCTGCGGTGGCTGTGAGTGTGCCTCCAGTCTGGGCGACAAGAGTGAGACTCCAACTTAAAGAAAAAAAAAGTTAGCCTTTTTAATATTCACCACCAGCTGGATGCTGTGACTCCTGCCTGTAATCCCAGCACTTTGGGAGGCCAAGGCAGAAGGATCACTAGAGGCCAAGGGTTCAATACCAGCCTGGACAACAGAGCAAGACCCTGTCTCTATAAAATATAAAATATTCCCACTCTGCCATCCAGGCTGGAGTGCAGGGGTGTGTGTGGGGGGGAAATATATATATATATAAAATTAGCTTGGCATGGTGGCACTAGCATGCTGTCCCAGCTACTCAGGAGAATGAGGTGGGAGAATCACTTGAGTCCAGGAATTCAAGGCTGTAGTGAGCTCTGATCACACTACTGCACTCCAGCCTGAGCGACAGAGTGAGACTCTATCTCTTAAAAAAATTAATTAATAACAGCAACAACAACAATAATAATGTTCACTACATCTCAGTGACACTGTGTCGGAGATGAAGCCCAGACCTCTTAACAAGGAGTCCAGTTGCAAGCAATGGAAACTTAGTTCTATTACTCAAATTAGCTTGGGCAAAAAGGGAAATTTATTGGCTCAGAGAATCTTTAAAAAACTGAACACCAAAAGTTGAAAAGAGCAGAGACGTGGTCAGACCTTGGAGTGAGGGAGTTCTCGCTCTCTCAAACAGAGCCCTCTCCAGTGGAGTTTTCGCTCAACTCTCTCTCTTCTCTCCTCTCTTTCTCTCTCTTCCCCTTTCTTTCTTCCTCTGTCTTTCTCCTCTCTCCTTGCCTCTGTCTGTCTCTCTCCCAAGCTCTTTTCTCTCTTTCTTTTCCCCTTTCTTTCTTCTTCTATATGTCTTTCTCCTGTGTGTGTGTGGCTTTTCTCTCCTCTCCTCTTTCTCCTTCTTCCTCTTCTCTCTGTCATGCTTCTCTTAGCATGACAGACTTTTTCTCTCTACAGACCTTTATTCTCCACACGGTGGGAAACGTCTTCACCTACAACTCTGGAGTTTTCCATTGTATAGCTTCTGTTGCCTGCCAGGGACGAACTTCATCTAGCCAGCCTCACTGGGCCGGGCTGGCCGGTGTCTGTTCCTGGGGAGGTCCACCAGATGGCAGGAAAATGAAGCCCCTGGTAGTTCCCACAATATTCACTTGGCTGAGGGGGGCTGTTTTCTGAAGAAAGGTGGTGAGAGACGAGTGCTGAGCACACCCGCTATTGTGCTGTGACGTCCGCCACTTAGACTCCCAGATCCAAGTGTCCAGTTTTTGAGGACGTTTCTCTACCCTGCACCTGTTGTCTTTACAGCTAGCCCAGTCTCCTTCCTGCTGCTGCATGTATGCTGATGGTGTGCCAATGTGTGCCCGAGGCCAGGGCACACAAAACAGCACCCCCAGGACCCAAGGAGTCAACCCATGAAAGCCCTGGAAACCATCCCAGCTCCCTGGAATGTAGGGAGGCTTCTGGAGCCCTGCAGACAGGGAGAGAGTGCAACCATTAGCGCTCAGAAACCACCGCAGGCGTCCGGGAGGTTCAGGGACACCCCCTTCCCAGCTCCTTGGAGTCACCCCGAGAGCACACACGGGGTGGGCTGATGCTGTAAGCCCACTTCACCGGGAAGAATCGTTAATAGTCAGCCAAGATGGCCATTAAATTACAGCGCGCACATTAAGATTCTGGCTGCGGAGGCAGGGGAACACTTACCAGAGGTGAAGCCTCTGGAAATGCCATTCATCTCAATAGAGAGCTGCTGAGACAGAACAAAAAGATGGGGTGAGGGGGAGCGGGGGAGGGGAGCACAGCCGGCTGGCTGGATTTCTTCACCAGACAGCCCAAGGCCCGCAGCCCAGAGGCGCCCAGAGGCCCTGGCAGCTACGTCCTGGGGGCCTAACTTGTGTCCAGAGTTTCCCATTTGCTCCTCAGTGCAACCCTCAGAGGGACAAATTATCCCTCCCCCCATTGTCCAAAAAAGTGAAACACGAGCAGAGGGGTTAAAAAAGCATGGTCAAGGC